TTTTTTTAATAAGGGTGTCACTCTGTAGTCTTGGCTGGCCTGGAATTTGCTGTAATGCCGGGGCTGGCCTGGAATTCAGGGTATCATCCTACCTTAGCCTTAACCTTCCAAGTGCTGGGACTATCTACTGATAACCCTGGAAGGTGGCTTTTCTTCTGTGCTTATTGGGAATTCTTATTTCATGTCTTTTTTCCTATCTCATTTGGTTATGAATAAATATGATATATTATAAATATATTTTTTTCAAATATAACTCATTTTTTGAAATTTATTTATTTGTGTGTATTTCATATAGAACATCCCAAAAAATCTTATTCATCTTTATACCTGCATCCCAAATGGCACCCTCCCATAGCCCTCCCTCCCCCCGGAGCTCATATATTTTGTTATCCCTGCTACTGTCCACTGTGTTGTCAGTGCCCCCAGCTGTTCCTCACTGCTTGTCCATCTGCTGAGTCTAGTCAGCCTATCTAGAGCCACTTGTTTTAAGAAGATGAGTTCTTCCTCATCTAACAGCAATCAGTTGCCAACATTCCTTTAGATAAGATTGGGGTCTGCTGTTCATTTGACAATCAGTATGATTTAATTATTCCGTTCTCTGTGGCTTATCTTTTTAGCTGAATAAAATGGTAAATTGTTTTTTAAAATAATATTTTATTTATTTTTTTTATTTTATGTGTATGTGTGTATTGCCTGCATGTAGGTAAGTGCACCTGTGTCGTGCAATGCCCACAGAGTCAGAAGAGGCTGTTGGATCCCCTGGAACTGGAGTTATGGACAGTTGTTAGCTGCCATGTGGGTGCTGGGATTCAAACTTGGGTCTTCTGTAAGAGCAGTCGGTGTTTTTAACTGCTGAGTCATCTCTCCAGCCCATTTTTTTTTCTTTTTTTTAATGATAAAAATTACAGTGCATTCTGTAGCTATACCTCCCTAACTTGATTGAGTTGTTGAGCTGAGTCCCAGTGGGACTTTTGTTGTCTCTCTCATGACCCACCCATGACTCTAGGAACTTTGTTCCTTTAAAAATGATTTTGTCTATGCCTTTCAGAATTAGCACTCGATTTGGAGGGAATCATGCTCAAGGTCCAAACATCACAGTATTTGGAAAGTGTGTGTGCCCTGTTTGTGGTTAGTAGCTGCTGTGTGACTTTTTCTGGGGAGACAAGAACAAATGTCTATGTCTATTCAGACCTCAGATAGGGCTTGGGCAACAGGCCAAAGAAATGATTCCACCCAAGTCTAGCTAGATGCACCAGTGAGTGGGTTTATTGGAGTTGCTTACATGAGCCACAGGGAAGGTAAGCGGTTACTTACAGGAGCATGGGTGACTTAAAAAGGCAGCTGCATCATCAAAAAGTCCATCCCAGCATGGATGGATAACTCATGACAGCTGTGTCCTTGAAGCGTTGTGCATTCTTTGCATGCATCTCCCTTAGTTGCCTCTCCCCACAATTCTTTTTTTTGGGGGTGGAGGGCTTGCAGCTTTAGCTTCCTGAGTCTTATAAGCCTCCCTCTTCTTCAGGGACCCAGCCACACAGAAGCACTTGTGACAGACTGCATATTTTATCACAGGTGGGGTTTGTTTTCCTTTTTTATTTTCCATTAGCATTGAGATGTCTTAGGAGCAACCTGTTTTCTACAAGCAGAAATAGCCTCTCTCAGCTTTCCAGCTTTCAAAGTACATGATTTTTTCTTTTACACATCAACACAGTTCACCATTTTTTAAAATGCAAGTTTGCTGTGGATTCCTAAAGAGCCAAGTGACATGGACAGGTACTAGTTCCATAGATACTATTTTCCTAACATCTGTCCCTTGTTCTGCACTTCTGTGGCTAGTGACTTAGCTTAGGCCACCTCTCCCCAGGCTGCTGCGGCACCTGCTTCTGATATGTATGCCTTCTTTCTATATACCCCACCAATGCAGCTACTAATAAAATGTCACCAATCTATAATATCTTTACCTAAAATTCTCTCATGGCTGTTTGTGACCTTCTCTATTAGGTTCAAACTCTTCACTTTGTCCCACAAGGTGAATCATCTTCCAGCTTTGGGTCACTTCTCCAGCTTTATGTCTCACCTTTACTCAACTGCACACTCTAAAATACCATGATCAAAATAATCTTCTCATGGGCAGGCCTTTGAACATGCCTCAGCAAGCCTTCCCTTGATTCTTTTGCACATTATTTCTCCTCCTATGTGAAGTTTCTTTCCCACCCTTCTTTTATTTAGCTCATTTTTACAAATACTTCCAAACACATCCTGAATATTGCCTCTTCTGAGTAGTGTCTCTTCTGCTCACGTTAGTTAGAACATTCCCACGGCACCCCAGGCTTTGAGTACAGTATTACCTCATTGCTGGCAAGCTGGTTGAGGCAACCTGTTTTGCCAGGTAGACTGTGAAGTTATTGAGAGGGGACTGCTGCTGAATCTTAGCATACTGCCTGGCATATGTAGGTGCTGAATAAGTTTTTGTTGAATTGAGTGAGTAGATGCCCTAGGAGAGTTCTGTGGTTTGAACGTGACTCCTCCAAAATTCAGGAGTTGCCAGTGCGATAGTAGCAGGAAGTGAGTCTTATGAGAGGAGCTAGAGCTTTTTCTAGATGAATAGGATTGCAGCCCCAGGGAAATCTACATTCAATGGTCTACCGTCTGGTTTCTACCACACAAGGACCCAATGTTTCTCCCATGGCAGATGCAGCCCTCACAAGACAGGGGAACTTGCTGTTCCTGAATACAGACTTTCCATCCTCCAAAACTGTGAGATAGTTGAGGTATTGTTCTTTAAAACTACCTAGTTTCAGGGATTCTGTGATAGACTAAGAAAAGTTTGCTTAGATGTCAATCATCTAATTCTCGTTTGGTCATTCATACTTCAAAGAGAATGAGATGAAGGTGGGGAAATTGGATGAAAGAAGAAATAGATTCTGGCAAAAGATTTAGAGATGGAAGGCATCATGGTAAGCCATTTGCAAGTAATTTCTCATGTGCCTGACAGTAATCTTGCCATTGTTGTTATGCATAGATTTTTTTTTTGCTGATTCACACACTTTTAACTATTTTGATTTAAACATTTCATACAAAAGATGTTATTGAGAACTTCATCTGTTTGGCAAACTTGTATGTACTCCTTATATATTTTTAAATGTTTTATTCATTAGAACTTAAAACGTAAGAATTTTGTATGTAGTTGTGAGTGCTTTGAGCATGAATGTTGACATTTGGACAGTTGAAGGCTGTAATACAAGACCCTGATCATTTCCAGCAGAACAAAACCGGATGTTCTATGTAAGAGTTCAAGGAACTCAGAAAGAGCATGAGAATTTCAAAGTTTAATAAGACATTTCTTCAACTAAAGGTCATCCATTTAGCTTAATGTAAAGTTGTTATCTTGTCTCTTACAACATGGCATTTACCTGGGAAGGAGAATCAGTGGTAAGAACCGACTAATTGATTACCTTTAGTTGACATGCTTCTCCTCACCTGGCTACTCTTCCCCGAAGGTCTCCAACTCCTTGCATGTGTTTGATGTTAATATCCTGCACTGCAGAATTAGTTCCTCTGGCCACCTGATCTCGGATTCTTATTTGGTCTTCTAGGATCTGTAATTTTGGGTTAAGATGACCACCATTAATTTCCAAATACTCATGGTAAGAGAACATAATTTAAAACAGGTGAATACATGTTGTGGTTAAGATGTGGTAGGATAAATCAGTGAGAGACCTCAGAGAGAATTCATCCCTGCTTTACCTGAACGAGGCAGACATGGAGTAGCTGAGTGCTGCCAGGCGGGGTACAATGTTGAAATAGTGTTTCAACAAAAGCTAGAAAGCCAGGCTTCATGAGAAATCTCCCAGTTTAAAAATATTGGTATCTAATTCAAAGTATTTAGACATTATGTGGGCCAAACAAGGCATACTTGTTGCACTGATATGCCCACAAATTGCATTTATATTTAAATCTCTCTCTCTCTCTCTCTCTCTCTCTCTCTCTCTCTCTCTCTTTCTCTCTCTCTCCATGAGATAAGAAAGCAATATAAAGAGGG